TTTCCCTTATTTTACTTCCCTTAATTTACCTTACTGATTTCAGAATTTTCTCCCCAGCAAACAGCAACCTGCAGCCCTATCTCTGCCTCCTACTTCACGGGTCGCACACAGCAGCTTCAAATGCTAGAGAACAAGTGCTGGGGACATCAGAGCATGGATCGCTTATTAGAGGTGTGGCTGTCGATCAACGGCCACGATCGCGTCGATGTATTTTGAGTTATTTCATATATTTGTTACATTATGTTATTTATTATTTATGTTGTATTTATTATTACCGTTTTACCCCTTGCTTAAAGGAAGTCGTATGTAAGCCCTAAGGGCAAGGTCGTCTTTTATCATTGAATCCTTTTGTACGATGCTATTTATAGCCCTCATGTTATTCTTCTAAAGTTAATGAATGAATGATAAATTTTCTTTCCCTTTGATTTCTTTGTGAGATCGTATGAGCGTTTGAGAGAGAAATCCCTAGGAAAGGGAGATCGGATCACCCACCAACCTTGGAGAAGGCCGGGTTCGTGGTACCTTATCTTTTTGTTTTCTCATTAACTCCTTCCATCCCCTAGCCGCCGGCCAAGGTTCTCCCAAGCCTTTGCCACCAGCCACTCAACTTCTCACCACCACCACCACATAAACCCCTCCCACTATCCAAACCACCGACCAACTTCATCCCCATCACCCCCACCGAAATCCCCTTCAAACCCATCAAACCGCCGACCCCTCTTCTCTCATCCTCCCTCCGAAATTCAAGTCACACCTTGAATCCTTTCCATAAGTATCTACTCTTAATTTGGGAAGATTTAATTTTCAAATTTCAAAGAAATTTGAATTTGTAAATTTCTTTCCTAATTAAGAATCTATTTTAGGAAAGTTCTTAAATTAAGTTCAATTTAAATTTGAAATTCAAGTAGGATTTAATTAAAACCTTTCTTAATTCCAATACCCAAATTAAGAAGCCACAAATCTATCCCATCAATCCTCTCCAAGCCTTGATTGCCGCCGGCCCCTATAGGGTGGAATTAGGAAATTATTTCCTAAACCCCAAATTCCTCTCTTTGGAAATAATTCCAATTTCCCCACCTCCCTTTGGCCGAATTCCTCCATAGCCCCAACAATTTAATTTATTTCCATTAGAGAACTTCTCCAATTGGAAATCAATTAACATCCTCCCATCATTCCTGCCGCCGCCCCCTCTCTCTTCTCTCCCTTTGATTATTCTCAATCAAGAGGATACTTGGGAGGTGTTTGAATTGTAATTTCCCTCCACCTAAACCTCCCAAAACCTGAACCTAATTTCCACAACCCTCTCCCGTCCATGGCCGGCCACTTCTTCCTCTTTTCCCTTTGGGAGTATTCAAGCAAAGTTCATCTCTTTCAATAGGCGCCTTCAAGAAGAAGTACTAACAAGCGAGTGCAACACTTCAACATTAAAGAAACCTCTTTCTCTCCATTGTACCTTCAAGGGAAGCTACGACGGACTTCCTCAACACCTCAACTACTTGTTTCCGGAGCGTGACAAAGGTGAACTTCTCCCCCTTTTCAATTACCTTCCTAATTACATAATCTTGTAGGTGATGACGAATCATAAGGAGCCGAATTCCACTTATGCCTAAGCTTAGTAAACATAGGATTTTGTTTCGACGTTGCCAAAGCTTAGTAAACGTAGGATTCAGTGCACTTTATTTGCTTCTAATCTTATTGTTAGATTAGGGATGTTGTTGAAGCCTACTTACTTAAGCATGTTATTGAATTTCTAAGTTATTTGATTTTCCAAGTGCTTAGCATGTGGCTTGGCCTAAGCGTAAGCACCCTTCTCTTGTTTTAATTTATCGTTTTAATTTGCTAAAAGTTTCATCTTTATTGCTCTAATCAAGGAATCGTGCAATACTCTTAACGCATCCATTTAAAAAAATTTAGTCATGCATCAACAAGCGACTGTGAAAAGGATGAAATGGTAAGGCTTGGCTAATTACCTAATATATATATATATATATAATATAATATAAAATCCTAACGCTTTTTCCACTAAAATTCCAATACCACTTCAGCCGAATGATTCCAATCAGCCGCATGCATACTTGGCTAAGTGGAGAGGCTACAGCAGAATGCATTAATTATTTAAAATTAATATTTAAATGGCTGATTTAGCTACAGTAATATGCAATAAAAGCTACAATAACATTTAATTAATACCTTTTAATGACAATAGTTTATTAGGCTTTTAGATACACTTTTATATATCAAAATGTTCGAAATTTAAAATGGGATTTAATGATAATAAATTTGAAATTTTCCGTATGTGGCAGAAAATAGAGTAACATTGTATACTTACTTTTTATTAAAAAAATTTGGGTATTATAATAAGATTATCTGACACAATTATCTTCACATTAAAAGTGAAGTTAAAATATCAGGTTATAAGTCTCACCTTTGAGCCAAATGCAATTGTATTTTTGCATCAAATAGCATGCCAATGACACAACTACCTTGTGTAGTAAAAGATAAAAAATCATAAGCCTATGTATATCATATGCATGGTTCTAGATGCCTCATCCCTTATGATGGACATAATTATTGCAAATCATAACCCGAGGAATTCCCAATAAAATCTATCCTCCACAAGATGAATCACACAAATTATGTCACGTGCTACCAAATGATGAAATCACTTATTTGATAACATAATCAAATGGGTTTACATGGAATATCATTCTCCTAAACACAAAGGAAATACACTTTTAGCAACACTCCCTCATGATGGGCACGGATATCACCAATTATAACAAGAGGGCTTTCTATCATAAAAATTTTCCCTAAATTCCAAGAAAAATAAACTATTGACTATTTTCTCAATGATGTCCTAATGATGGGCATAACAAAATAAAATCATAACCAAATTAATATAACATCAAAGGTACCCATATAATCACACTTAAAAATCTCACACAAATAAAGATGTAGCATGTGCCCCCTAATCATGTTGTTAAACTAATTGTGATGATGCCATTATACTACAATTATAGCTTAAGCCCGAAATGTTCCCTAATGATTGTTTATGAATTATAAACCATAAGATGCATTCAATAGGACATTAAGTCCTCTATTAGCCAAGGTCAGCCTAAAATTAGTCCCTACAGCAAAATTTTCCATCAGATAGACAAAGTTCCATTTAACGACACAACTAATGGTAATTAACAAGGAACCTTCAATCAAATTAGGTCATATTACAGATTCTACATAGTAACAACTCACCTAAGAAAACAAATTTTCATTGGCATTGCTACAAGGAAAAAATAAATTAAATTTGACTCAATCCTAGGCAAATTCTTAAAATTCCCTCAGTTAATCAGCATGTTGTAACATATTTTTTTCTAAAATTTATGTGCCCTTACTAGTGAAGCATCAAATACAGCCTCACTTCTTTCAAGAGTCAATTCCATAGCTTTATATTTGTTGGTTGGAGTCCTTTTTTTATACAAATATAATATTTCTGCTTTATCATTCTACATTTTAAGACTGTGGGCTGATTTCTCAAAATTCAATTACGGACCCCCATTCATTTATGCACAATGGATTTCCAAAGCTCATTATTCAACTTGAGGGTGTATCTTCTATCTACTTCCTAAATGCCAAAGTGAATACAAGAGCAGTTGGAGCCACCATCCATTTTGGTTCATTCAACCTACTACATTCTTTGCGCCCATCACATAATGGTGATTGCTTGCAAATACCATAAAAGTGTTTTCCTACTGCATTCCCCTACCAACTTACAAAAGAAGGCTGAATTTGATCATCCCAAATTAGCCAAGGTGCCAGACCACAGAGGCTAATATTATTGTCACTACTACTAAAGTTTCTAACAAAAGGACTTAAATGTTTCAAAGATAGAAAAATATAACTATCCTCGCTACAAAAATGGTAATTAGGCCAAAAGAGTTACTTGAGACTAATCAATCCTTCCACTCTTTCAACCACACCTTCACACGAGGAAGGCATGATGTGGAGTCTTCTTCATTTGTTAAAAAGCGATCATGGAGATAAGTCCGGAATAACAATACTAGATCGAAAGCTCCACAACTACAACCCAACCAATCAACCAAGTTGCAAACCCTAAAGTCAATGGCGACCATCCCCATTGAACATAACTTTGAAAATGTAATGTAGTATGAAACAACAACCAAATGTCAAAATTGAAAGAGTCATGTTAGGCAAAGCCAATATTAAAAACCCTAAAGCCATATAGAAAGAAACGTGAGACCCTCTCCTGCAAGGTGTACAAGATCCTCAACGTCATTAAGAAGTGCTCATGGAAAAGAAGAATAAAAAGCTAATTATTACAGGCCTCACGGAGACAAAAGCTAATTCTTACAGACCTCAATACTTAATTGATCTCCTTCCACATTAAAAATCTATTTTCCGCTTCGACGCTTCTAGAGAATGCATATTTCTTGCATGGTGAACCTTAGGATGTAACAGTTAGTCCTCGTATTCAGGCATTCACAGCCGAGAAAACCTAGAAGAAGATGAAGCAAAAATGGAGACCAAAACCTACTCTCTATAGTGAATCACAATGAACCATTCTACAACTCTAAGACACACAAAATACACAAAAAAGAAAAATCCAAACATATAAAAAAAATAGTGATGTTTGTTAAAAATAAGAGGAAGTGCTCAAGTTGCCTTTGTAGTCAAACGTTTAACAATCTTCAAGCACTTTCAAATAATAAAAATATTTGGTATGCCTCAGGAATCTTTGAGATTAAATCAGGGTATTAAAAAACAATATGTAGTTCCAGCATTCCTTTTTTTTTTTAAAGCTATGTAAAAAATAAAACAATGTTTGGTGGTTCAAAACTATAATATACTTCTAAACTATAATATATATCTGGCAACATCCAACTTGGGAGATAAAAAAACAACAAACTATAGAAGAAATTTCTTGTTATTTTGATAGGTTTTAGTCTTTACCAATAAAGTAAGGCGAAGTACAGCTTCTTACTCACATGAGCTTGCAGGCTCCAGGAACATGATATTTGAAGTGCATCCTGCTCAACCAGTACCTTGCATGGGTATTCATATTGTCAACTTCCAAAGCCAATTCAAAGTTATCCTTCGCAGCCTGTTAGCAAAAGGAAGTTTACAATGCTTTGCTTCAGTATAAGAAAAAAGGTTCTTCGCCAATTTTAGAAGCCATAGATTTTTCTTCCCTTTTGGGGAATTCATGCCTGGACAAATTTCTATCTCAACAACCTATAAATCAATTAAGTACTGAGGTCAAGCTTTCATAAAATATATTAGATAGAGTGAAATTTACTTCAGCAATAAGAACCTTTTCTAATTATAGTCCAAAGCATCAGCTCCTACAAAAAAAAATTGGAAGCAGGTGTTTACAGAGGTAAATTCATAATTCCAACAGCCAAGCAAAAATGTTTTCCAGAATTTTCAGTTCCAGGCAGGTTATTAATGAGATGAAAGCTGCAAGATTTTGCAGAAGAAAATCAAGAAGGAGAATATTTAAATTCTTTGCAAAATAGAGCTCCTTACACATAGGCCTGTAAACTCAGAGTCATAAGCAATCCAGCTATCTATCATATCCAAATAAATTATGCTTACAAATGACATTTTTAATGTGTTTCTCGCTTAAAAGAAAATAGCAGCAGAGCAATCAACGTGAACTAAAATCTAAAAAAAACAATCTTCACATCATATAAAATCAGACTGCCAAACCTAATAAATTATCAGGGAAAACATAAAATTCTCTCTTCAATTCCATCACTTGGCCTAAATATATCTCAATGAGCATCTGCAAAAACAACATAATCCTCACCCTAAGTAGAGGGATAAGACGTGGATCGTTGAGGTCGGCGTGGTCAATAACTCTGTCGACTTCTTGGAGTGCACTCCAACCCTTGGCCACTAATCCCATTGCCTTCTTGTTTCTCTCGTGTATCCCTCGCTGCCTCCATCAAGCAAAACAACGGAGTGAACGGTTTTCTCAAAAAACAAATAGGTTTCTGATGTATTTCATCAAATCTATCTAAGATGAAAGTTCAAAGACATCTATCGTAGAATAGAGTTACCAGTTGATTGCGAGAGCAGAGCGGCCTCTGGCTTCCGGCCGCCCTCGAGATAAAAAGCCGAAGCATCGCTCGTTCTCTCTCTCTCTCTCCCCGCTGCTCGTCGGATTATAAACTTGATATATAAAGGGACAACTTTCTAAAAATATAATAAATAAATAAATTATTAAAAATAGATAAACAAAAATTCAAAATTATTTGGGGTAACTTTTTTAGTGCTTTAAGTAGTTTTGAGTACAAAATTTCAAACCTTTCTAGCACTCAAAAGCTTTTAGAAAACATCAAGAAAATTATTACAAACAAAAATCTTAGGATTCTTTTGAAACAGCTTTTTTTAATGCTTTATAAAATTGTTTTAACAAAAGTAACTTTTTATATTGATTATGGAAAGCATAATATTAGTACCAAAAAAAAGTTTAAAATTGTAGAAAAATAGTGGCCAAATAAACAATTATGGTCGTTGTTAAAAAAATACGCTAAGAAAGTTATCACAAACAAATTCATAAGTTTTGTTTGAGACGACTGCAACGTTATATAAAGATGGTTGTAAAATTACTATGAAGAAAATAATTTCGCTCAATCGAGGTCATTTTACCAGTTTATCACTCACCATCTGAGCAAATGAACAAACATGTCAGCAAACTGTCGGCTCAAACTCGAGCTTGAGCCGAGCTCAAAAGGCGAGCACGAGCTTGACTCGTCCAATTCTAACGAGCTCGAGTCGACTCGCAAGCCCTCTGCTTCTTTCGCGGTTCGATAGTCTTCCTCACGCTGTCTGATCGTCTTCCAACACCCTTGAGCCCAATGCCACGTTGTTGACATCACAAAGCCTGAAGCCGAGAAGATGAAACAGTGGTGGAAGCTGTAGCTAGCTTTCAATTTTTACATCCTTTAGTCTTTTTCCAACGTGGATAGCGGTTTTTTTTTTTTAGAATATATATATATATATACCCACAACTCATATGAATTGCATTTTTGTTTTGGGAATATAGCCTATTGTTTTATTTTTGAAGATGAATCATTTAATATGAGCCTTTATGCGCCTTGTTTGAGCATTGGTGGGAATGAAAAATCCATTATTTTAATTTTTTTTAAATCGAGCCGGCTCGCGAGCTGAGTCTGATTGTGCTCGAGCACGTATACTATATGAGCTCGATTATAAACTCGAACTCGACTCATGAGCTCGATAAGCTTGGCTCATGAGTCCATAAACAAGTCGTGCTCGAGTTAGCTCGTGAGACGGCTCGGCTCACTTACACCCTTACTGTAAAACACTTTAGCTTCGGGTTTAGACTTCTTTCATAAAAATATAAATAGCATAACATATAATTTCATTACTACAATTAACATTTATATTCAACCAATTCTAAAATAATATGTACACTAACCACGATAGGCTATAAAATAGTACATTAAAAGCTGAAAATAAAACTAAACTACCCTCAGTGTCTAGCCTCACATTGCAGACTCCTTGTATTTACCTAAAATATATAAAAATCATGTAATGAGCATAAAAGCCGAGCAAGTAATCAAAACTCTATATTGAATTCAATATAAAACAAAAGAATCAATTGTCTGCTATAGTTCCAGTCCATATCAATCAACAATTAATAGTCTATTAGTAAAACCAAACAAATAATATATAAAATATGTATAAATTAATAGTTAAACTAATATGACCAGTAAAGACAAAAAGGTGTCTACTAACAATAAGAAAAATGGTAAAACAACTATTAATCAATGACCATGTTAGTATGACATGCTATATTGTATTAAGATTAATGTAGCTTTATCAATTCCATATTAGTTCAACAAATTATCATATAAATTGTAATCATTAATACAATTATGAATGGCAAGATAAGACATCCAACTTTAATGTGGGGTTTTCATCTTTCCATATGTTAGCCACAACATTTTGAAAACCAGACTTAACTGGTTGGTTCAATCATGAACCGGCCAAGTTATCGATCCAATCAAATTAAAAATTTATGATTGCATCAAATCGGCTCGAACAAATTTGAAATGCCAATTTGAATGAAAAAATCATCGAATCAATTTCGATTAGGAATAATTGGTCCCGATTTGATAGAACCAATCATAATATATACATGTTATCTCACATAACATGCTTTATTGTAAGTTGTGTGAACTTTATGTTACATAAAGATAACTTGATCAAACTCTCTTATGATGTGGAACTAAAAAATTGCATAAATACTATATGGGTTATAATACAAATTTGGGCTGGGTTGGGCTACAAATTTAAACTAGTTTGGTTGTAAAACTTATTAATGTGTTAGTGATTGGACAAATACTTGCTTGGTGGATACGATGTATCTTACTATTTTTACACTAGTGAATAGTGTATGTTTGAATATGAATATACTTAGATTTTATTTGATACTAAAATTGTCATTTGATACTCAAGTAGACGTGTCGATTAATTAATGAAGTGATTGAATGAGTGTCGATCTAACAAGGGATTATTCTACTAAATTACAATCATAATAGTATTGTATACTAAGGATGCACATTTTATCCTACTTGATAAGAATGAAGTGTTTTGATTTTCTTCCACTTACAAAGAAAGCAAATAGACAAGGTAATACTAATATATAACATATGTTTTGAACTAATGCTTGTAAATAATAATGTTTTTCAATTGAGACTCATAATTGTTGATGTGGATCAGAGCATATACATCTCTAGATCTGTGTCAAGCTTATAAGAGTGAAAATGAAGATTCAAGATATTCCAACAATTTTAATATCTCCATAGAACTTAAAAAGTTAAACATTATATGTCTAAATATACAATATTCTATTTCAATATTCTTAATTGTTTCAAAATTCCTCCATCGAGTTAATAAATCACACTAAATATTAACTACATACATGAACATTATATGTTATTAAACGAAAAACAAGAGATGTTGAAAACATCCATAATTTTATTCAAAACATAAGAGTGTACATTAGTACATGCATTCACTACAAGAAAAATCGCTCATTTATGGCAGATGTTTTATGAGGCTTTCCGGTGGACTATTTTTCGGTAGCTTTCCGACGATTTTTCGGTGGATTACGCTGAAATATTTCTGACTTATTTTCAGGCATAATATTCGACGGTTTTCTTCGGAGGGTGTTACGGTGACTTTTAATAATTTCTGAAAAAAATCATATATTCGTAAATTAATTAATTAATTAATTAATTAATTACTTATCTTAATTACTTATTAATTTAATAATCTTATTTTAATAAATTCTTTTTTATAACTTAGTTTAAGTAACAGTTAATTTAATAACTTATTTATTTTATTTATTAAATTTAATATATTTTTAAATTAATTTTTAATTCT